CAACCCTAGTTGGATGTCTTAACTTCTGTAAGTATTCACTTTTTGTCTTTGGATTGTGAATAATTGGTCTACTTTGAAGCTCAGAAGAGTCAATGTGAGTAACATGGACAGAGTAAGAGAGTTATGACATTAGCTGTTAGTGATATTAGCTGGAAGCCCACAACAGCCATAGAAAGGGGAGACTTTGCGACACCACCTCCCTGGTATCCACTGGACTTTGATGGGTGGCATCCACTAGCGGAATTCAGAAAAAGGAAGGTGTGAAATCGGTTTGTATAAAGAAGAGTACCATGCTAGGGAGGAGGGTTACTGTGTCACCTCTTCAGAAGCCTTGTATGATGCCATCCTGGGATACAGCTGAGTAAGCCTGCGTTCTTAACATTGTATAAGACATCCTAACATAGAAGCCTATGGAATGTGGCCACCTGTTTTCAAATCCAGCCCCCACACTTGTGTGACCAGGGGCTAATTGCTTAAGCTCCCCACAGGTCCAATTTCTGCATATAATTGGCATACAAGGGTTTGTTTTGAGCATTGATGTAAGTTATATCCAGTAATATTTGGAAACGTCTTCGAATGTGACTGGTGTAGGTAAGTGCTCTAGATCTCACATTCCCAAGAGCACATTTCTCAGACCATGAGTCATTCCTGCCTCTGACCATCCTGCCAAAATGCATGCCTTCTCAGGTCACCTTATTCTGAAGAAAATAAAACAACAATTTGTTGTTATTGAAGAATTAGAGTGTGGGAGGTTGATCTGTATAACCTTTTTGATATATCCTCCTACACATAATCCATGGATCTGACCTCTTAGATACTTAAAAAAGGTGAACAGTTTACATCAAAATTATTTGTAAGCCTAGAAATATTTTCAGAGGCTTACCAAAATACAAGCTTTAATTTCATTTCAACTGAGATTTGAGTTCATTTGTTTATCTGAATCAATATAATTTAAAAAACGTTTTCTAATATGTTGCCTTGGTCTAAGATGGTTAAGAGTTTGCCATTGTTTTGACATGTACAGTTGGGATCTTCCTTTCTATAGCAGTCCAAGGAAGGGAAGAGAGACAAATACCACTTCCACTCCAAGCCTAGCCATCAAAGCCAGGGTGAATCAGTCTATGGGAAGTCTGCTAGTATTTGAAGGGACAAAGACATTCTTTCCCCTGTATAAACACTTCTAACCGTGAATTGCTAATGTGAAGACATTTTTTTTTTTTTTTTGAGAAGGAGTCTCGCTCTGTCGCCCAGGCTGGAGTGCAGTGGCACAACCTTGGCTCACTGCAAGCTCCACCTCCTGGGTTCATGCGATTCTCCTGCCTCAACCTCCTGAGTAGCCGGAACTACAGGTGCTTGCCACCACGCCCGGCTAATTTTTTTGTATTTTTAGTAGAGATGGGTTTTCACCATGTTAGCCAGATAGTCTCCATCTCCTGACCTCATGATCTGCCTGCCTCAGCCTCCCAAAGGGCTGGGATTACAGGTGTGAGCCACTGCACCCGGCCTTAATGCAAAGACTTTCTAAACACTAGTGGTAAGGTTTTCATTTGTATTTCATAATTAATAAAGATATCTATAAGTAGTTTATGTCGAGACGTAAGTTATGGTGATCGTCCTCACTGAGGTCAGAACACCCTCTTGCAGGCCCTCTCTCCCAAGTCTTTAATTAACAGAAGAGTTTTCTATAGCACTGGGGTCTGGGACATGAGTAGGTCTGAACAAGAAGAGCCACAGTGGGAAGGAGGCAGAGATAGGAGGCTTGCTGGGAGCATCTACTTCTACCTCCTTACTAGTTTCAAAGCAAAGGCGGAAAAATTTATGTTCACCCCTCTGTATCTAGCATTTGCTCTTACATTGATTTCACTTTGCTTTATTCAAGAACACATTCAAACCTCCCATTCATCTTCTTTCTCAAGTCAGTGTGTATTTTCTCTTTCCCTTTCACACCTATTATGACCATTTATTTCAAACCTTCTTTTAATAACTCATAGGTTTACTATTAAGTAATATCCTCACTAGTTTCTCTGCCTCAAGAATATCTTCTCTGCAAAAGTGACCATATATAAAGAAAAGTTGTTATAGAAAATGTCACTTTCATTAGGCCACCTCCCCCTTAACCACTGAAGTGCCCTTTGCTGTCAGCAAGGTGAAAGCTAAACCTCTCAGCCCATTGCTCATCCTTTCGAAATCCCTCATCCTCCTAGCCCACACCACATGCACAAACCTTTGCTACAAAGCATTCTACCTACACATCACTCAGGTTGCTGAGGTCCTGCTATGTTCACACTGTTCTTGTAAAAGAACAGTGGCTTAAAAAACCTCTGTTCCCTTTTGTTTTCCTAAATATTATCCATTTTCCAAAAGTTAATTATTTCATTTCCCACATTTCTACATCACTTGCACTTTGATTCCCTCGAACTTCTGAAGTACTTTGTGCCTTCCCTCATCTGGTTCAACAGACATCATTGTACATACTTATTACAATTGTAAGTAAGGAAAATATCAGTTGTTGAGAAATTAAAATGTATAATCAGAGTAGTAAATAATGTTGAGATAAGTAACTGGATTACCAGAGGAAATTTGGGATTGATGCTAAATTAATTTTGATTGCTGGAATTCCCAAAGTAGAATTTGGCAGTAGAAAAGAAGAAAAGCATGAACAATTTGGGGGTAGGGACAACCACTTCTGAGAGAAAAAAAATGCAAAAGTCTTCCAGAAAGAAATTTTATGAATCGGGACATTCTAACGCAGTGGTCCTCAAACTCTAGCATGCATCCTGATTATTTAAAGGGATGGTTAGAACACCTCTCACTGGGCTCCACTCCCAGAGTTCTTGATTCAGCAGATCTGAGGTGGGGACTTGAGACTGCCTTTCTAGCAAGTTCCCCAGTGATACTGACATAGCCGAGCCAAGGACTAAACCTCAAGAACTGCTGGTCAGGCCCGTGAAGAAGACTGTGATAAATATTAAACAGATATTTGTTGTAAATTCCAATAAGAGATCAAAAAAAAAAAAAAAAGAATTGACTCGATCATGGATAATAAAATATTTTATTTTGTGTTTGTTTGTTGGCTGATTGGTTGCTTAGCTAGTTTCACTATAGGGCGTATCGGATGGATTTAGGGAGAATATATAATTTCTGATTTCTCCAGCCTGCATGAAGCAATCTTTTAGAAAATATGAAGTTTACAGTGGGAGAAACTACAATGAGACCCGGGTAAATAGATTATGAGAAAGTACTTTTTGAGAACTCTGATGGATACTATCTCAGCTGTAACTGACTTTGAAAAGCTAATTTTTATTTATTTTCTGAAGTGTGACTATGCTCCAGGCCAAACAGTGAATTCTACCCTATTTTCATTGTTGTGTAATTACATCTAATGATCGCTCATAGTATACAAGCCTCTAGTGTTTGTTTTTCCATTGAGCATATACGCTTATAGCCAACACCAGCACTTTTGTTGAATCTTATGTGGTTATCTGAATAATGGAGTTCAAAATGAAGAAGAGAGAGGGGAAACCAATAAAGAGCAAATTCTTGGATGCAGAAGTTTTATCAAGATCTAGACAAAAAACTTAGTTGTAAAAATTTTAATAATATAGTTCAGGGAAAAGTAACTGAGCAAACAGTTATTAGATTAGGAATGTGAAATACTGGGGAAAATCCTGAATCTATTTGATGTGGCCTCATAGTGGGATCCTGCAAAGGTTACTTCCTCTCAACAATGCTTATGAATAGGTACATTAAACATGGCTTATTAAATGACACTGTTTCCAATGTTAGATGTTGCACTGCAAACTCAGAAAGGAGGAAATAATTTTTTCTCTGAGACAAGAAAGAAGGAATGGAAATATGAGCAGAAAGCAGCTTGATGGAGAAATACAGGATTAATTTGCTATTCTCAGTCATGCAGATGATGACGTAACCCACAGAGGATGGAAGGAATATGGACAGTGGTGAAAGCTCAGGGCAGGAAGAACAACAAAAGGAAAGGGAGAGCCGGCCAGACAGCTATGAACCAAAACGAGAGCTTGTTGTCCCAGCTAACTAAATAGGAGCCTTGACTAAAAACACACGGAGCAATTGCTGAAAGGTGACAGCACTAATGCTGAGACATTTGCTAGAAGGTAAAGACTTTAACTTATAATAAATGAATGTGAATATTATGTTGTACAATTCAGATATTTCAGTTCTACTGAGGGACAAGTTTTCAATGAACAAAATGTAATACAACAAAAGGAATGAAAACTGTCTGATATTTTTTCTGTGTGTTAGATAAATTAGAGTGATGTTTCTAAGATCTCACAAGATTTTTTCGTAAAATTCGACTGTGTCAGCAATCACTATCCATGGCAGATGCTAAAGCGTATTTTTTTTTAAAACAGGATAAAATCATGAGTCACATATGAATATAAACACAGGTCAAAGATTTTATTTAACTCAATAATTAATGGGGGAATTTGCAAGATATTCCAACTGGTTCAGAAGAGAAGTCAAAGTACCACAGTGAAATCAAAGTACCACACATATAAGGGCAGATAAAGAAAGCGGAAATAAATTTACAAATAGATGTAAAATAGGTCTACCTACAGAACAGTAATCAATTACATTACATCAGAATATAACTAATTTGTATTTTTATGAGAAAGAATAATTTGCATATTAACTGCTTCCTATGACTTCCAGAATTGTAAAGTAGCTCAAAGATAATAAAATACAACTAGACAGGACACTTAGTATTTTTCACTGTTGTTATTTTCTTACTACAAAGTTTTTCACAATTTTTCCTGACTCTGGCATAAGAATGAAGATTGGATGAGCAGAGGAAATGCTATTTGTTAAAGTCCTCCTTGTTCCTTGGTGTTGTCTGATATGATCTTGAATCTTTTGGCAGATGCACATGTGAGTGGGAGAAAGAGAAGTGAAGGAAATAAAACAGTAAACCCTTTTGTCCAAGTCTAAAACTGCTTACTTTATTTTTTACAGCAACTGGTAAAATGTCCAAAGAAATGAACAACTTCACCTTTGGGAGAATATTCTTCCTCATGGGGTTCTCCGATATTCGGGAGACCCAGATCCTATATTCTGTGCTCTTTTTGCTAATTTACCTGGTGGCACTGATGGGGAATCTTCTCATCATCACCCTCATCATCAAGGATCATCGGTTCCACACGCCCATGTACTTTTTCCTAAAGAACTTATCTTTCCTGGATCTGTGTCTCATTTCCGTCACTCTTCCTAAGTCCATCATAAACTCCCTGATGAATTGCAACACCATTTCATTCCTTGGATGTGTGTGTCAGGTTTTTTTCTTTTTTCTCTTAGCCACTACAGAAATAGCTCTTCTCACAGTCATGTGCTATGACCGCTATGTTGCCATCTGCCACCCACTCAAATATGAGGTCATAATGAGTCATGAAGCCTGTGTGCAGATGGCTGTCTCTTCATGGGTCAGTGGAGGTCTCAATGCAATCCTGCACACAGCTTGCACCTTCTCTGTGCCCATGTGTGGGTTTCCTGAGGTTCATCATTTCTTTTGTGATATCCCACAACTGCTCTCCCTTGCCTGTTCTTACAACACTGGTGAATTGGTAATCATTGGGCTCAGCCTCGTGTTGGACTTTGGCTGCTTTGTGTTTATTGACATTTCTTACATTCACATATTCTCCACTGTGCTCAGGATGCCCTCCAAAGAAGGCAGGTCCAAAGCTTTCTCCACATGCCTGCCTCATCTCATTGTTGTGACTTTATTTTTCTCTTCAGGGTTTTTTGCCTATTTACGCCCTCTGCCTAAATCTCCATCACCCTTGGATTTGCTGGTTTCAGTGTTCTACACTGTGATGCCACCCATCATGAATCCCTTCATCTATAGCCTAAGAAATAAGGATATGAAGATGGCATTCTGGGAACTACAAATTAGTAGATAGCATCTTTCAAATTAGAAGAGTTATTCTCACATACAACATCAGCTTTTCATAATCATCTAAACCATATGGTTACATAGTCTGGCAATAATATTGGACACCTAGAGTAAGAGTTCTCATGAAAAATCTGGTGGCACTCATTGGAGTGCTACTGAGAAGTGCCCTTATGCCCAGATCGAGTGTGTGGTAAGGCCAGTAGTGTTCCACCTGTAGACACTGGGAAGAAGTATGCCTTGTATGTATCACCCTAGTGGGAGCTCCTTTGTTTCTGACAACTGGACAGGATGCTGGGACATTGGAGATAAACGTGGACACTCCCAGGAAAACCAAATGTATAGTCATTCTTAACAAAGGTGATATCTGAAATGCTATGTGAGATGACATATAGAATCAATTCTCAAATTAAAGGGACTAGGTAGAGGTGATAGTTGCACAACCTTGTGAATGTACTAAATGCCTCTGAATTGTACAAGCTATAATGGTTGATTTCATGTTATGTGAATGTCACAACACCAATAAGACAAAACTAAAACCAAACAAGTCTCTTTTCCTCTTTTCTTCCCCAAATCTACTAACATTTCCTAGCATAGTGTGCATCCTTGTCATCTGGAGACAGATATATTAAAACTCAACTTTACTATATATCAATACATATATTTTTAAATATTAAAACAAGTTCCTGGGTACACTGAGTAAAAGTACTCACACTAAAGAGCTTAGAATAAATTTGGGTATAGGGAGGCAATATAATATTTTTTGGAAAGGGAAATATCTAAGCTGTATTTGAGAGGATGAAGAGGAATAAACCTGAAAAAGAGAGAGAAAGACCAGAATGAAGGCTGAGAGGAAAGCAAAACTAAACAAAACCAGTGAAGGCTGGGAGAAGATGAGAACCTGATCTACGAGGGAAACTACAGTGAACTGTGTCCTGAAACACATACGGGAAAAGCTTGGGCAGAGAGGTAAAGGCTGGGCAAAATTTTGAGAGGCTGAAAACACACAGGGAGATGAAGCTTTGCTCGACCTTTGGCATGAAGAGAAAGTAGCTACAGGGCCTTTCTATCACATGGCTAAGCTATTAGATATGTTTAGAGAGGCAAGAACAACAGCCAAGAAAATCGAGGTTACTCCCAATAACAATTTCAGATCTTATAATGTCTGGATATGCAACTCCCTGTGATTTTAAGGCTGCTTTGCCTTCCTACAGTAATGATTATTTTCCTGCTGTGGTGGACGTAGTCCAGATCACCTAGGCCTAAGAATGCTGCAGAGGAGCTCTGATTCTCTGCTTAGATGCTCTCCCAGCCCCATTGGCCTGTGATGGTGCTTATTTTGGCTGTGACTTGACATTCTCTAAGTCTTTGATATCTGCTGTCTTCCCTCACTAAGCTGTGCATCATGAGGTAGATTTCTTTCATTCATATATATATATGTACACACACACACACATATACACGCACACACATATATATAAAACTTTAAGTTCTGGGATAAAATATATATATATATTTTTACTTTAACTTCTGGGATATATGTGCTGAAAGTGCAGGTTACATAGGTATACATGTGTCACGGTGGTCTCCTGCACCTTTCTCCCTGTCATCTAGATTTTAAGCCCCGCATACATCAAGTATTTTGTCCTAACGCTCTCCCTCCCTTTGTCCCCACCCCCCACAGGCCCAGGTGTGTGATGTTCCCCTCCCGGTGTCCATGAGTTCTCATTGTTCAACTCCCACTTATGAGTGAGAACATGCGGTGTTTGGTTTTCTGTTCCTGTGTCAGTTTGCTGAGGATGATGGCTTCCAGCTTCAACTTACTGTTTTTTATGGCTGCATAATATTCCATGGTGTACATGTGCCACATTTTCTTTATCCAGTCTATCACTGATGGCGATAGATTTCTGTCTTTAGAATACGGGCGGATCACGAGGTCAGGAGATCGAGACCATCCTGGCTAACAGGGTGAAACCCCGTCTCTATTACAAAATACAAAAAATTAGCCAGGCGTGGTGTCCGCGCCTGTGGTGGCCCCGTTGCCTTTCCCCCTTCCCCTTTTCCGCCTTCCTCCTCCCCCCTTCTCCCCCCTGCACTCCTTTCCCCATCCTCTCCCCCTTCCCTCCTTCCCCTCCTCCCCCCTCCTTCCCCCATCCTTCCCCTCTTCCGGCTGCTTCCCTCTCGCACTCGCCTCCGCCTCCCGCGCTCCCCTCCTCCGTAGCCACAGCCGCCAATTCTTAACACACCTACTCGCCACGAAGAGGCGCCCTCGCTGGCCCACGGCTCTCCCGGGCACCCCACGCGGCCCCAACCGGCTGAGCGGTGTGC